CTGTGCCATGACTTTCTCTATTGTTAGGGACAGGAGCCCTCCATCTAGAAGCACTCTTAGGTTAGAAATGCTCCTGATTTTCTTTTTCCTAATAGACTCTGTCACAAAGAGAGTGGAGAGGCAGGGTTGTGTGAGAACAAGTCTTTTTCCCAAGTCTCCAAATCAGGAAGGGGGAGTCTTCAGCTCAGATATGGTGCACCAGGATTCCTTCCCCAGGCTCTGTTTCCTGACAAAGGAAAGCTCTCACCTTCGATCAGCTGCTAACCACAGACAACTGCTAACCCTGCTGGGGATGGATGAGGGCCTTGGGGGCAAACTGCTGAGTGAGTCAGAGTTGCTTCTGAAGCTTCTCCTGCTTGCTTCTCAGTAGATTTGCAGATTATTGATATTTGGAATTCTGTTTGAATGTGCTGCTGTGTGATTTAGTCCTCTTTATTAATAAGTAGGCTTAAAATGTGAATCGCATTTTGGCTCTACCCTACTATGCCTTTGTCCACATCCACAGATGGAATACAGTCCCTGAAACCTTTGCTAGGTTCGAATTTGATCATTGGGCTGAAAAAGTTTCCCCACCCTGCCCCAAACCATAGTTTTGGAGCATTGGAAGCACTGTGGACTCACCCATCCTGTTACTTCGCATATTTTTTTGTTTATTTGCATTGTTAAACCCTTTAATTTCAAAAATACTCAAAAGGAACTCTGCTGTTAAAAATTATTACTTCCTGACTGATATATCCACAATTGTTGATAGCCCACTTGCCATTCAGGATTGATTTAATGAAGTCCTAAAAGAAATAAGGATGTGAATTGTAACTTTCACAAGAGATGGATAACTTTGTTGCTTCAAATATTCAATTGATTCCTCCTTTTATGCAAGTCTGAACTAGTGTTAATAAAAATATGTTTTGACTTCACAGTTACAAAAGGAATTGCAGATTATGAAGCTCTGAGTGCAAGATATGTAACTAAAGAACAGACTTGCATGGTGTATTCAAGAAGCTATTCGATACTTGAATTTGCAGCGTTTGTGTGGTGCCTCTTGTGCACTTCTCATGACCTGTCAGACTAGACGTCTGGAATATGATTTTGCTTCAGTCACTGGAAATGCTATTTTGAAGAATTGATTCAGGAGCTGCCACTAAAGTCTGAACAGTGTGGTGTGCTCCTATTGCATCTGGTGTCCCAAGGCCAGGAGATAATGCTCTTGTACTAGTCCCAAGCCACTTTTCCCCTTCTGAAGCTAATCATAAGGTCAGCATTATATTGACTTGTTCTTCTTGAAGAAGTATCTTTAGCTGGTAGTGAATTCTGCACCAAGGCGCTGCGGTCCTGTTCTTGCCTTTGAGCTATAGGGGTGATTGTGTAGGACTTGTCGAGTTGGAACTTCTACAGCCCCTTGCTATATGTGGATATATTCACTAATGCTGCTTTTGCTCCAAATTGAAGACCTGATGGTATTCAGAGGATTGCCTCAGACACCCTTGCTTCTTCTTATGATATTCTAATTTCTAATTAATAGGTTTATTAGGGCTTTTAATTTAAAAAAATCAGAGGTAGAAACTATTCAGTGTTCTTCTGATGTAAATAAAGTATGTACTTCACCTCCTGATCTGGTTGAATGTGTAATTATTGTGTGTTTTTAAAATTCACAGTCTTACCCTTTTGAAAGGTTCAGGGCAGGTGTCTACCTTATCAGAACTAAAGACCAAGTAATAGATTAATGCAGTTATACGCACTACAAAATACTACTGGAACGTTACATTTTACATCAATTTTAATTATTTAGAAAAAAATCAAACAACCCTCCTCCCTCCATTTTTCACTGGTCATTAAACTGTCATGACAAAGGATTTAGATATCAGCAGGAAGAACACTGGACAGTAGTCTTTCATATCCTTGGTGTTTTAATACAGTGATTAAACTGCCTTAAGAGGGTGCTGCTTTTTGACCTCCAGAACCATGGTGGGACATTGATGACTGAACTTTGAAATAAACTGTATTTTAAGCCTTTTTTTCTTGAATCACAACTAGAAACACCTGTTCTAGGATAACAATCACTTACATTTTGCTATACCATGAGGTGAAGTTTACTGAGTCAATGTATGAGTTTGCCGAACACTGCAAGCCAGCTTGCAAATAAGCTATGCAAAGTGGGTTGTTTGCAGAACAAGCAACCATTTGTCTGCTTCCAACAGACAAACAGGCTTTCTGTGGTTGGTTCTCCCCGTTTTGCCCCTGGTATGCCAGCCCATATATCATAGTCCTGCATAGCGGAACCAACCGTGTCTCCTCCTCCCTGCTCTGATTTGCATTCCTTTCATTTGGGGTTTCTTGTCTTTGAAACTCTCTAACAAATTTGAGCATTTAAGAGGACAGGGAAATGTAGGCAAATTTCTTGGCTGCATATTTTCCTGTCCAAAAGAAATGCTCAAATTTGCTAGATAGGTTAGAGGAAACTATTTTTTCAGCTGTAAAATGAAGTATTCATGAAAAGGCTGTTGAATGTAGGTTTCCACTTTCTGGAATATCTACAGGCTCAAGGAAGTATGGAAAAAGTAGAGGAAGCTGAGAACAGTCACACCAACACAAAAAAACCTTCAAAGCGGTTGAAGACCTTCACAATGCTAGTTCTGGGGGACTTTAATGTTCATGCTGAGACTGGCTTATTAAGGTGGCTGAAGATTTCATGTCTACCATGGCAACCATGGAGCTGTCTCAGCATGTCATCAACCCAACTCATGAAAAAGGTCACACACTCAACCTGGTCTTTTTGATAGGGCAGGAGGATGGTGGTTCTGATGTGGAGGAATACTTTTGACCCTGTTGTCATGGTTGGATCATGGTGAGCTTTAGATTCTTGGCCCCTCCCTCCCTCCACAAGAGTGGAGGACTTATTAGAATGGTTGTCCTCAGAAAGAAGCAAATAATGACATCCCCAAGGAATCAAACATGTTGCGTTTTGATATTTTTGTAGGTCAATAAAAGTATTATCTTGACAGTAAATTTTAGAATGTTACTAATAGACCAACTCTGCTTTTGGTATATATAAAGATTATCACTCAACAATTGGGGAAATAATGCTAAAAAATTCTCCATACTTAAATATTTTGAGGAAAAATTGAAAGCTGTTTTTAAGACTTTTCCCAATTGCATTGTTATAGTTTTTGTGAACTTTAACAATGTATTTATTCTGTGACTCTGCATGTGGTGGCAAACATGCATTTACTGCTGTATAATATATGAAATGTCTCTTGCTGAAGAGAAAAATGAATGCCTTTCGGAAGCAGTTCTATCACCCCTGCCATCAGTGCATGTAAGTCTGTGAACTTGGAGGCTTATTTGTACCCTGTACCCCAAATGAGGTACGGCAACAGTGACTGCTGCCAGCATCGCCGTATTTCAAACACTGATTTTTGTCTAGATGGCTGTTTTTGGTTAAGGCACCGATAAGAGTTGTGTAACTCCTCAGGCCCAGCCTTTCCCTACCTGCCTGCCAACATACCACTTTTTCTCCCTTCCAAGGCATATTTAGAACCTTGGAGGAGGCAGCTGGCATGGTTTTTTTCCCTTCCTAGTCATGAGGAGGGCAGTTCAGTGACTCAGTCTCAAAAGAATATCAGAGCTGGGAGCGTCGAACACTCTTATGGCCCACCAGAAGAGCAGACAATCAGACTGTGTTTTTAGATTCTCAAATGTGTGTGGTTTACTTTCTGGAACAGGGAATCAGAATAAAACAAACAGGAAACTTCACAAATGTACTTATTCTACTGTCATCTGTTTAGAGAGCTCTTGGCCCTAAAAATGCAAAATATAAGTATAATAATAAATAATCTGTTTCTTGTACTAACCTCTGAGCTTGGAATCAGCTATTTCAAGTTAAATGAGCTTGAAAACCTTGAATAGTAGAATCTCCTAGATGTGACTTATTAGGTGAACAAAGTACTTAAGATGTATTCTCTCCCTGAGAATCACAATTAGTTGACTTGTGTTTTTTTTAACATCTGGGCTCATTTATTAATGATGGAATTCTTATACATTCAACAGTCCAAGAGTTGCTTTGTGAAGTAAAATGATCGGCACATTTGTAACATAAACAGAGAAACAGAGCGAGTCAGAAGGGGCCTCCTGGGCCATCTAGTCTGACCCCTACCATGTGCATGTCTAGCCTATCCTTGAACACCCTCACTGATGGGGCTTCAATCATCTTCTGTGCAAGCCCATTCCATACCCTTGGGAAGTACTTCCTGGCATCCAAATTGAACCTTGGTTCCCTGAGCTTTGCTCCATTGGAGTGTGTCCTGCCCTCCTCTGCAGGGGAGGTCTCTTAACCACCTCCATGTGACATCCCCTCACATGCCTGAATGTCGTGAACACCTCCCCTTGGAGTCTCCTCCAGGTTGAAAAGACCCAGTTCCCTCAGTCTCGCCTCATACGGCTTTCCCTGCAATCCGGCCACCATCCTTGTGGCCCTACACTGCACTGACTCTAACCTGGCTATATCCTTCGTGTAATGAGGGGCGCAGAACTGAACACAATACTCCGGTTGTGGGCACACCAGAGTTGCATAGAGTGGTGGTAGTACCTCTCTTGATTTAGAAGCCATGCTTCTGACTATGCATCCTAGGGTGGCGTTTGCCCTCTTGACAATTTGCATCACACTGCTGGTTCATGTTTAACCTGAATACCCCGAGATCTCTTTCATAAGTGCTGCTCTCCAGCCACTTGTCCCCTAACCTGTACTTATGACACCCATTCCTATGCCCCAAGTGCAAGACCTTGCACTTATCCACATTGAACGCCATCCTGGTGTCTCCTGCCCACTTCCATAGTCTGTCCAGATCCTTTTGGATCTGGAGTACCTGCTCCCCAGTTGTGGCCACTGCCCCCATTTTAGTATTGTCTGCAAATTTGATCAGCAAACTGTTCACCCTTTCTTCCATGTCGTTGATGAAAACAGTAAACAGTAACAGATGACAGTAAACCTACGGTCCTACACACAGTTATCTGAGAGGAAGTCTTTACTCCAAGTAAACATGCACAGAATCAAGATGGTACTTTGGAATGCAAACCTGTTAATTTAAAACTGTATGACTTCTATGGAGCTGGGGAGGGGAAGAGGCTGACCATACCACATAAAAGTGTAAGTGGATTACTGAGGGAAGATGGATTGTTGCCTGCTTTCATTTCTAGTTGCAGGAACAGGGGCCAAAGGGGAGGAAACCCCAGCTGGTAATCTCTCCTCTCTAAACCTCCCTAAAGCAAAGAGCTATGAATATTTAAGTTTGGGCAAGAAACGGGACTGTATTAGAATGCAACATCCAAACCAACTGAGGGTCTCCATCATCATGGTAGGACTGCATGCATGCATACATTTGCACATTTACTCACCTACAGTCCTTATCTGAATAATGGACTGATGCCAAACTTGAGATTTCACTTTTGAAACTATAAAAAATGAAATACATGCAGTTAGCTAATATACGCCATGACTGCACACTTTAAATAAAGTATAAGAGTTAGCTTCAGCTCTTTATGCAACATAAATTGCCTAGACTTGTTCTAATTGCATTTGATTAAAAGAACTGAATGAGCTGTAGGCACATGGAGACATCTAAGTGCATCGCTACTTCCATTCCAATCTTCTTTGCCCTTCTTGAGAGAGTTCCTTCAAGATGTCTGCATCAGTATTCTTCTGAGACTTATGACTTCTGTTGACATTAAAAACATTATGTTAGTAAGAGTACTGAAGTAGTCACCGTTGCAAAGTTATTTATCACATCTGAGTGCCTTTGAAGATAAAGCTCAAAGCAGTCTTTGTACAATTTTGTCCATCACATAATCCCTACAGTACTGTGAGGTAGCTTTGAAAAAAATAGGCCTTCCCTAAGGATCAGTCAAGCCAGTGAGCTTCATGACTGAGCAGGGGATTTTTAAAATATTGACTTGCAGTGTAATCCAACAGTCACAATACGAAGAAATTCTGTGAAGAAACTGCTACTTCCTAGCCTGTCTAGTTTGTGCAGCCATGGTGGGAGATAGAGTATTTATTGTCCTTTTCCTGAAACTGGTATATTTTACAGGCCTGATCTATGAGCACAACAGGGAAACAAAGCACTTTGTATCCAAAGAATGCCCCAATTCAGGCCCTACCACAGGCAGTGAGCATAGCAGGTAGGATGGAAATACCTTCCCACTCCCAAAACAATAATACTGCATACAGTGGTCCCTCAGCTTTTTTTGGCTAGCTTTAATATGGTTCTGTAAGTACATTTATTTTCAGCATAGTTGTATATTGTCTTCTGAAAATACCTCTGTGATTCAGACAGTTCCTCCTTCCCTATTGGGTCAGTGGTTTCTCTTCCTTTGTTTCTTACAAATTCTTCATTCAGCCCAAACTGCTGCAAGGTGTCTCGAAAGAGCCTCTCTACCCCTTCACGGGCACCACGCTATGGAATCAAAAGTGAGACACTGTAGTAGCCCCTTTCCCTTTAATTATTATTAAAATTATTGTGCATGTTCTCTAGACTAGAAAAGTAGGTGAATGTTTCTCTTATTACTGAAAGAAACTTATGTTTTAAACTATGCTTAAGGGAACACTTCAATTACCATGATATTAAAACTTAGGTATCTGTTCATGTTCATCTTCTTCTATTGTGTTGTTGTCTGTCTTTTTAATAGAAGAGTCTGTATACCAGTGGGGTGCAGGACATGGAGTAATATGCTCAGGTTACAGAAAACCAGATTCTATATGAACTTCAAGAAAAACTTTCTGTTAGTGCAATATGACAATGGAACCAATTACCTAGGGAGGTTGTGGGTTCTCCCACACTAGAGTATTCAAGATGCAGCTGGACAGGTATCCCTGAGTGGTATTTTAGGTTAGAATCCTGCATTGAGCAGGGGCATGGACTAGATGGCCTTACCTGATCCTTCCAGCTATACTATTATATGATTGTACAATAACTGGTCAATAACAAAACATTCCTACTCTGTTAAATCCCGATTCCTCCATCAGGTTTTTGCTTGTAATTTCTCTTTGACCCTCCAATCTCTGTCATTCACTCATTCCAAAAATAGTTACCTTTGTGACCTGTTCAAACAGATATGGTCTGCTTTTCACTCGCATCTTCATCTCTTCTAGTTGTTTTTTATACTCTCTTGTTCTTCTGTAGTCTTTCTGCCTAGAACAAAAGGTTCCTTACTATCAGAAATTATCCTGACCTTGCATAATCTTTTAAAGTTCCATACTGCACTCTTAATTGCAGGGAACAGGCCACATCGAAGGACAGCAATCTACCCACAGAAATACCCACAGCTTATTTCCAAGTACAAGTAAGCTGGAGACATGCACAGATGTTCCCTTGTTTAAAAGGGGGTGGGGGTGAGGGTGGGGGAACAGTACTGACATTGCTAGTTAGGGAAGAAAAGTACTAGAAAAGCACAGTGCCTGGCTGGGTATCCTTTTTCAATATTCTGCCTAACAGGCAATTGACTGTATGTCATACGTTCACTCTTCAAGTCAGGGCACATGGAGGCATTATAAATGCACTGCTTGTGAAATACAACATCCTGTTAAGAGACTCTTCTATGTTGGTTCCAATTCTCTCTTCTGTCTCATTGGGATACTTACTGCTTTTGGGAAGGGAGATCTTATCTTTCAATCAGTCCATTTCCTTCTACCTTTCTACATTCTGCCCTTTTCTTCTCCTACACTCAGGAAAATTCCTGGGCTGAAAGCACTTAAAACCCACTTCCATTCCACATATCCACCATCTAGTAACTCTTATTCAATTGAATCATTTTGTTCCAATAATGTGTTACCCATGCCAGTTATATTATATTAATATATCAGTTATATTACTGACAAGTTTTGTTTCAGCTTTTCTTTGTGTGTCTCCGCCAAGCTTTTGTGGGGATCCATGGCTTTCGCTCGGCAATTCACAGACTTTTGCATAGCTTGACATTTCTTTCTTTGCAGCTCTGCCCAATGAACACCTTCATTCTCCTTGTCTTTTTTACCTTCTTGGAGGAGTCTATGAAGATGAAAGTGGATAACAGCACACAAATTTATTTCTAAATGAAATTATCATGTTTTCCAAAAACTAAGAGTGAAGAGAAACCAGTTTACATTTCCAAGTTAAACAACATATGTGAAGCTGTGTTAGTCTTCAAACATTTTTCCTTCACTTTACTGTTGATGACAACTTGAGACTAAGATTTTAGAGCCTTATCATTTTAACATAGCATAAACTTTTGGATGTTACAACCTACTTCAGATACTGAATTGGAATTGGGGGAAAAAGCTGAGAAAGACAGATGACAGATGGCCAGAACACTGCCAGTTGGGCAGTTCTCCTCCACCTTTCTTTGCCCAGTTCCAACTTAGTAACTAAAAATGTAAAGTTTATGTTGTTTTACAAAAAAAGGGAAACAGTTACATACAAAACGGTTTTATTTCTCAGCATTATTCATAAGTATAACAGAGATTATTACTCACTTAATAGCAGACTCTCTCTTTCTCACTGCATCTGTGATATATATTGGAAGTGTATTGGAGGAGAGGGATGAAATACCAATCAAAGAACGACTTCTTTGCATTGGTGCCTTGGAAGGTTGATGAAAATCCTGAAAGCAAGAATATTTTGTTACTTATTTTGCAATCTTTTCTTATGCAGTACTTAGCTGGAGATGCATGTGCACACACATGGATGCAGGGGTAGCACTGAGCAGGATGCAGTTTGGGGTTTCTACAACTGGGCTGGTGAAAGGAGAATTCAGCAAAATTCCCCAACTTTTTATAGTATTTTCAAGAGGCCATGGGGAACTGGGGGTAAGGAAGTCTGCTTCCACCATCCAAGACTGCATGCAGTTAAGTCTGGATCCAATCCATTATTTATAATTGTATCAATTTTCAAAAAAGAGATCTTATGTCCGCAATTTACGGTGAACCTGTATTGCCTTGTTAACAGACACATCTTGCAGCTCCTTGGAAATGAAAAAAAAAAAAAAAAAAAAAAATCAAAACGGCTCTTGGGTTCCATATGGTGAGAACAGCATTTTTGACATTCAAAGGAAAACAAAATCCATCTTCATGAAATACACTGGCTGGCCCTTTCCCTTGTTGGGATGATCTAGAAGTGCTTTATTATGATGTACTAGCTTTTTATATTGAATAATGCTTTCCTTGCTTACTCATAAACCTCAATAAAAATAAAATTTAGAAAAAGTTTTTACACTGTCTCAGTTATATGGAGAAAAATGAACTAGAACAGGGATGCGCAGCCTTCAGGCTTGCAAGACCTACTTTGTTTTTTACCAGAACCCTGAGATCCATCAACCAGAGGCAGATACGAAAAATAAATATTTAAAATTAAAGAATCCTGATCCCAGGAAATTATTCTGAGTACCAGAAGTGAATGAAGCTCATAGTCCTTCTACCTAAAAATCAGCTTTTGGATTGAAGTCCATTATGTCTTTATTTCAACAGTATAATTTAGCATAAAGGAGCAGTCATTTTATTACACTATTGTTCAACAAGAATTCCTTGCAGATCTTCAAATCTCCCAGGGATTTTTGCAATCTTATACTGCCCCCCCCACCCGGATTCTGTGGAATTCCACATATGTTGATTGAGAGGGATGTTTGCCCAGGAAGGTCCTTGCTGGATGGTGGCAGAGCTGATGGGGGCTGTCTCACTGCTAAATAGGGCAGCTTTGCACTGTATGGGAATGGCTGAAGGTCTGCAGGCTCTTTACATCCCCAGACAGGGCCTGAAACTACAGCAGCTCTGTAGTAAACTCCCTCAGGTTGAGAACAATAGGAAGGAGACAACAATTTTAAATGGCTACTTCTCTACTTTCAATGCTAGTGAAAGGGAGCCAGCATGACTTAGGAAATGGCTTCCTTGGGGCCCTTCCCCCACAGAAGCTCTGACCATAATGGTAATGTGTTTCTTGATTTGTTTAATGTATTCCTTGGCCACCTTTCAGAGGAAGAGCTTGTCTCACTGATATCATTCACTTTTTATGCTATGTTTGAATGACTTAAATTGGTGTCATTGCAGCTCTTCTTGTTCCATAGCAAATTTGTACCCTGTAACATCTGTCTAAAATTGTCCCAGTGCTTGTAAATAATGATGCAGTATGCCAGGGAGGGATTATAAAGTACAAAATTCAAGGCAATTCTTTTTTACCATCATCTCCTGGTTAGATACTCTGTGTTTACAACGGAGATTAGATGTTCTCAATTGGAATGGTTTATTATGAGTTGCTTCTTTGATCTCTCGTTTGCTTCTTGCTTCTAGCTGGAATTCCCAGTAAAGTCTTTCAAAGTCAGGTACAGATCTGTTAATTCTTGGTTTAAAACTGAAGTTGTCCTGCAGAAAGCTCAGTTTTTGTTCCCTGTTTCTGGAGGCAATTCGGGATTCTTTTTCCTTTTGTTGATTGCTAAGCTCAATAGGAGCCCAGGAGCTTTCCAGCAAATCCTTGGCTCTCATTTGAATACGGATTTTTCTTAACAGTTCTGCTTCTAGGGATAAAAGTGAAAATGATAAATATTCCAGGTGGGAAAAGGATGCAAATCTGATTAGTACTACCCCAGAAAGTTGGTGACAGAATACTGTCTTTTAGCATGACCATAATAGAAATCCGTTATTTATTTCATTTCTATACTGTCCCATAGCTGAAGCTCTCTTTTTAACTCCCAAACAAGCCTTTCTAAGGCCAATCTTGTGGTGTAGTGTGAAAACAAAACCAAGATTTGAAAGTGGAATGTTTGAACTCAAGTAATAGGTATCTCCTTTGCCAAATTGCACACATACAGCACTTTAATATTCTCATCCTTTTTACCATTTGCATTTAGGAACTCTGTACGTTGTAGAAAGTGATGAAATATAGAAGAATCACCTAGCTTTACCTCTGAAACAAAGGAAAGGACTAACCCTCTCCTAGAGAACTGAACCACTAAATACAAATCATTTAGAAGGGCTGGTGGCAGCTGGCACAGGAATGACTTGAAGGTCCTAGCCATAATTTTTGTAGGGTAGCCAGATACAGAGGCAGTGTGGTGGGGTGAGTGCTGAACATCATAGGTGTCTACTGAGGAGGCCTACAGAAGTTCAAGAAAACCTTCAAATAAAAGCATCATATTGTATTCACTTTTCTCTTGGTATTAACTAGCTCTTTGTAATGCAAAGGCAAAAGTGAGGTAAAGAATGGCAAAGCTGCCCCTCCACTCAGTTTCATCACTGATAGTTCAGGAAAATGCATTTTTAAAAAACCAGCCCCTTGCCATATGACTTGGTTGCCTGCACAAGTAATTTGCCACTCTTGGGCATGCTCCTTCTTTACCCTTTGCTAACTAAGGGAGCCAAATAATGGTTTTCCACCTAGAGGCACCCAAGTCATGCGGCCACCCTCATTCTTCTGTCAGTGCAAGACCCCAGCATTAGACAAGCTTACACCTAGTCTAGTGCAACTGCTGACCAGCTGCCTAGAGAGGAGGTGGGCTCTCACACTAGAGACATTCAAAAAGAAACTTTACAGCCATCCGAGTGGGATGGTATAACCTGGTGTCCTGCAACAGCAGGGGGTTGGACCTGCTGGCCTTCATGGTCCCTTCCAACTCTACTATTCTATGATTCTATGATTTAGCTGCTGCTGAATCAAGTTTTGCTTTTGCCAATTCCACAAACTGGACTTACTTGCTCTTCTATTTAAAAGACTGTTGTGATATGGTATGATATCTTTTCCTCCCTTAGACTTTTCCTCCCTTAGACTGTTCTGATCAATACTGAATTGGTATAGTATTGCTCATCTCTGGCCGATGAAGAGGATGCAGTCATACCCATCATTTTATGTAGCTCAGACTGTCAAGCATTAACTTTACCCAGTAGATAAGCCAACCTCTTTACCTTTGAGTTTATCCCCAAGCATTGGTTCATAAGTTGATTTAGGAATCTTCTTTCTGATTTTTGGTACTGATTTCTTATTTGAAGTTAGTATGTCCAGAACTTTCTGTTTGATGGCCTCCTTTCTCTTTTCTTCTTTTTCCTGAAAGCTGAAGGGTTTTTGCATTGAAAGAAGCAACTCCTTTCTCTTTTGTGTTCTCACTTTTCTACGAATTTCATTCTTTTCCATGATTTCCTGGTAGAGTGGTAAATAGATGTGGGCAGGTACCGGCTGAGCCCTGAATTGTTTCTGACATTCAGCTTCTTCTTGGCTTTGCCTTTTGTACGCAGCTGTTTCAATTTCAATCAATGCTGGTGATTTTAACAACTGAGACTTTTTGTAAGCTTCTCGAAGTGTCATTCTGAATGGCTGAGGGATGGTGATGGAGGAGTCCCATGGTTTTAAATATGATTGAGGAGATGAATAACGGTTTTGTTCATTTTTTGAACTGTCTATGGAGAGGTCAGTCAAAGAGTTGCATCTTCTCATGTTACCAGATCTGAAGATAAAGGTTTAAAATGTTATCAAGGGCATAGAAATAAGATGGAAGGTTGTATTTGGAATATTTTAGTTTGAATAACTAAAAAACATATATACCAAGACAAGCTTTCAAGCCTGTTACATTACTTTATTGGCCTTGCTGTGTAATAGTTGGTGAATGGTAGGAAATTTGGGACAGGTAAAAGGAAATATTTCCTCACATAGTAAATAGGTCAGCTACAGAATTCCCTTCTACAAGATGTAGAGGTAACCACCAATTTGGATGGTTTTTTTTTAAAAACTAGGGAAATTAATGTGGAATAAGGCTGTCAATGGCTAGGGCACTGATGCACTCATGTCCTGCTCCTGGATTTCCTGCAGGCAATTAGTTGACAACTAATGACATGAGTTACATTTTACCTCAAATAGACCATTTTGTACTTACTTAATGTAAAAATATTGTGCTTGTAAAGTGAGGTGTAATATAGACTTCTCCTTTATCTTAATGGTAAAGATGTTAATAACAGCTTTTTCCAACCTGGCACTTTCTTGATGTTAGCTAAGGATGGTTACTACACTTGGCTGGGGGACACTAATCCCATGGAAAAAATAAGACAACTTTGTTACATTTTACCTCAAGTCTTCATAGAAGTTTGCTGGCAAAATCAATCTTGCATCATCCTGGAAAAAGTCTTCTAATTCCTTGTCATCCTTAGGTGGTTTGTAGTTGTTCTCCAGCTTTGCCTGGTACATGAGGCCCAGTTCTAACAAACATTGTCTGTTTTTGCTTTTGAGGGCCTGAAGTGAGTCATAAAGCCTCTCTCCTGAACTTGATGCAGCCACTGTATCTTCAGCTAGCTGGAGAAAATCCAGCAGGTTACCTCTGTTGGGAAGAGTGACATTACTCCCCAGTTCCACTTCTGATTCTGAATCTGACTTTTCTTTAATTGGAAAGGCCTAGGAAAATAAAAACAGTGAAACAAAAAGGCATCAAACACTGCAAGGACTTCCAACAAGGTACTTCCAATTAAGATAAGCTGCTTGTTTCATCAGTGGTTCAGGTTTATATTGATCCAGGTAACTTGTATGTTTTTTTTTTTTTTAATTAAGTGTTTCCAGGTGGAAGGCTCCAAGTTCTAACAGTGCTTTGCAGCTAATCTTTTTTCTCATTTTAAAGGATTTTCTGAGGTTAGCAAAAAGATGTATGTGATGAGGAAACATGGGAGAATTATTAGATGAGGACTTACGAACTCCGCATAAAATTCAGTGAAAGAATCAGGGTGCCACAAAAAGGTAATCAGGAAGCTCTCCAGCCAATCTGGCTGGGCTAATCGGCTATTTTAATTGCAATTTCCATGTATACACGCTTACTTGGGAGTAAGAAGATCCTGGATTCAAGTAAGTTTACTTCTAAGTGAACGTGCAAGACAGTCGGGCTGCACGAGAGAGTCCACTCTCTTACACTAACTGTTATTAATAATTGCGCTGACTGAATCCAATTGTCTTTGGGCAATTGCAAGTCTAGCCTGGGAGCCCAGCCATCGGGTTCCCCCTGTGGCGCCAGCACGCGTCTATCCTATGTGCCCCGATTCCCTCCCAGAATGTGGCTGATATGGCGAGGGAAGCCACAAGTCATGGGCAGAAGCAAATGGCGTTGCCATGGAAACACTCGAGGATCATCGTCCCGTGCGCATACCCGCTGTATTTCTTCCTGCCGGGGTTGCACTTCGGCCCCGCCTGCCGCCCCTTGAGATTCCGACACCGTCATCGCCGTTCTACTCCGGGTGTACTACTCGCAGTGCTCAGCAATTACAAGCTCGCCATGCCTCTGTAGCGTCAGCCAATAGGCACCCTCCATTACTTCGGCTCTTGCGCAGAACCAATGATCCCTCGGCACAGTCTTTGGATCCGCCCCTGCTAACCGAGTTTGACGGTCTCATTGGTCTGGTTGTGTTTGCGGCTGTCCGTTGTCAAGGTGTTCGTTGGTCACTTCCGGTTGTGAAGGGTCGTTATGGGGATATAGACGTCACTTCCGCTGTGATGGCCTCCTTAGTGGGCCTTTTAGCGTACCGGAGCCTTTGGCCTGGTAGCAGAAAGAGATGTTGTCTTCATTCGGTATCTTTCGGGTCTTTGTTATGGCGGGGCTCAGTGAGATCCAGTGGGACGTCCGCGGTGTACGATGTGGTGGTGTCAGGTGGTGGCATGGTCGGAACCGCCATGGCTGCTGCACTGGGTATGGGCGCCTCCGCTGATACTGGAGCCTTTGGGAAGGCATTTTCGTAATGTTAAGTTCCTCAGTGGATGATTGTCGTTCACCTCGTAGAATGGCCAGGTGTCGTCTTTGCAGAGGGCTCTGTTTTGAAGAGCTATCAGAAAACTGGTCTATTTTGAACAAGGGCAATTTAAAGAAAACCAGAAGGAAGAGCATGGGCTTTGAAACTGCCTATCAACAGCACTTGGACAGTAGACTGAGCAAGGCACCCGGTTCACCTGGCTTCAGTCTTCCATGCTGTGATGTAATTGCTATACAGAAATTGTAAATATAGTAATTCTGATTTTGGATCTGTGCATAAACATTAACACATGCAAATTGCTGCCATCTTTTGCCCCCTTTTTGATGAGACATTTCCAATTTTGGCAATTTATGATTGACCCTGTACATCTAGGAAATCAAGTGAATTCTAGCACTACTTTGGTTTTGACTAGTTTTTCAACTATATTATCATGTTGGCTGCATATGGTGTAGTACAGCTATCCCTAATTTATACTGTCTGGCATGGGTGTTCTAGTCTCACACTTTCAGATGGGGAAGCCTGCTTTTTCATTTTCATGGAAAAGCTTAATGATAGGAACTGAAACTTCATGTTTGGCATGTTCCGCTAAAGTTTAAGATTTGCCTGCAAGTAGTAACCTCTAAAAAGCCCACAAGGAGTGGGCCTTTCAAAATGCATTACTGTAGTGATTTCTCAGGGTTATTGAAGTATGAAGGACTTTAGCTGGGTCCAAGCACTGAAGAAAACATGAACTACCATTCCTACATGCTGATTTTTCAGTATTGGGGGTCTGTCAAGGTCAACCTATTTGTTAATTACTATCAGTAACTTTAAAAAATGTTTTAGTTGGAAGGCAGAAGATACTAACTAAACAGAAAAAATATTGAGAAGGAATATGATGTATGTAGATTTAAAGAAAATATTTAATTGAAGTGATTTTCAGTTGTGGGGATCATGTGTATTATAAAACCCAAAGTACTAAGTGGTCACTGCCTCCTACAGACACACTCTAGCCTCATTCTGTTGATGATTCTGTTCTCATTCTGTCTCTGAAAAGAGACTATAAACTGTATTCATCTGATTGTGGTTGCAGTCTTCTGTGTAATTGGAATCCATGATTGTCAGGGTTTCCAATTGTATGGGACACTAACCTCTTCCAGCTGAACACAGTTAAAGTGTGGGTTGAGGGGCCACCATGCTTGTTTCTGTGTTGCCTCTATGTTCAACTTTGGGCTAGAATGCTAAGCCATTTTGCACACCCAGCATAACTTAAACATTGATTTGTTTCTTTGTGTTCTCTTCTTACAACTTGATAAAAATACTTTTTTTTCTTTTTGAACAAAAGTTAACATTTAACTTTTTTTTTAAGGACATGACGTTCATCTCTGTGATAAGAAAATTCTGCTACTTGAAGCTGGCCCAAAGAAAGTGTTTAACCAATTGCCCAAGATTTACAGTAATAGGGTCAGTGCTATTACACCTGGTTCTGCCACATTTCTTAGTAGTAAGTATGGTACACAACTATCTGGCTTCCAAGTGTTGATAGGATGCATCATACCTGATGTTTGGATATGAAATTCTAGATTCCAGCCTTACGTCCTTGTTAGTGTGGTGGGTTTTCCAGAAAAATGTTCTGATTCCTTAGAAAGTTATTGCATTTAGCATAATTATTTACATATATTTTATAAACAGTGCTACCTGCACCCCCATACTCCAACTTTGCCTTTGTCCTGATGTATGTCCTATAGTATTTGACCTGAAATATTTAAGAAGGAACAATAATTTTTCCTGGATTGCTTATTAAAAGACAGCAGCATGTACTTCTTTTACATTGGACTGGTTCATATAATGCAACAGCCTATTACAGCTTATTTAACTCCTGTAGTGGTGTGTGTTGGCCACCATTTTGAACATGCAAATTCTAGTGATGGGTTGCCATGTCATCCAGACCCATATACTGGGGTTATACAAGGCTTGAACAGCTTTTGCATAAACCTTGATGACTACTTTTGCCTGATATGAAAATCCTCACATTCAAGTTGCAACTTAAAGGGGGTAAAGTTACTGAAAACGCACTTAATAAATTTTAGCAACCCAGAAAACTGCATGATATACTGACATCCACTCATCCATTTCAACAGAGTTTAACTGTCTTCCAAGGAGGTTGCTGTGGCATGTTTGACTTCACTGTCACTACTTATTAGTTCTGTTTCACACTGAAACATGTATTTCAGTGATGAATGTGCATTTTCTTCATACTTGCTAAGGATAATCACCTGTAAGAACAATTGCAACTTTGAAACTGCCAAGTTTGCCTAACACTGTATATACAACTGCCGTCCATTCACTGTTTTCCTAATGAACTCATGAAAAGGAAAGTTTGTCACAGAAAAATAAAGTAACAGAAAATATTATTTTTGAAAAACTGATTCTTCTCCTCCTCACTTAGTAATAGAATTCACTGAAGTTATCTAGAAAAAGAGGTTGAAATGTTCACTTTAGAAAACAAATTTTCAGAGTTACAAGTTTCATCTTTGTAAGGAGGCCCAAAAATCATCACCAGCCTTCAGTGCTAGCATCTAAGAATGAGGAATACTGATGTTGTAGTTAGCTGTCCATTGAGACTGATTAGCACGTCTCAAAATTATGTCTGTTTTTGCTCATCATTGCTTAATGAAATGTGTATGCCCTTTGTTGTTATTGGGTGGTGGTTCTGATCAGATGGAGAGACTTTTAACTGTTCTAGGGAAGATTGTACTTCCCTTGAAGGAGCAGATTCAAGCTTCCCTTGGTTGTAATCACAGCAAGACAAATACAACTATGCAATATAAAAATGAAATTGTGGGGCCTATGACTTTAAACAAAATTGTTGAAGCACAAATGAAATTTACAATAAATAATTTGACAGTTAAACAGCAGCAAAAATTATAAAGATGGAGGAGAACAAAAAAAGTTCTTGCTGTCAGCAAACCCATGTTGAAATAAAGTTTTTACTTGTTGGTGAACAGTAGGAAGAAATGGGATCAGCCAGATCCTGTGGCAGTGCATTCCAAAGCCTGCAGGTTGCTCAGGAAATCAGGCACTACTTTAGGATTTGTGGGCTTTGCCTTGGCAACAGAGCCAGCCCAGAAGCTCTAAGGTAGCCTCCCTGTCCTCCACATGTATGAAACTGCAAACCCTAATCCCATTAATTCCCAACCAGCACAACTGTTGGCATTGTGGATGATAGGAGTTGCACTGCAAAATATCTGAAGGGTACCAGGTTGGGGAAGATTTGCATCCAAGTGCTATTCTTGTGTATACAACTTCCACCTTTCCACCAAATACATGCAAAGAAAAGCCAATTGAAGTTGGGTCAAACCACAAGTAAAATCAGTTAGCATCAACTAGAATTGCAAGATGGTGGGTGGAAATTATAAATACAATATGGCCTCTGAACCTGAGGAGCCTTTGTTAAATGTTTGTGGAATGTCAACATTGTTTCTTTGATGTTCTGGGATCCTTTTCTTTCTAGGCTTTGGTGCTTGGGAACATATTTGCAATATGAGAATCAGACCCTTTCGACGAATGCAGGTGCCTAATATTGTACAAAAATACAGTATATATCTGCATGTGCATGGCAATATAATTTTGGATGTCTTCAGTCCTCAAGATATTTTGACTTTTAACAGCCCACAGGTTGTTTCCTCTGTAGAGAGTATTACAGGTATTCGACATGGAATGTGCAAGTGAGTTGTACATTCTCTTATATTTCTAGGGTCTTGGGCAAAGGGTAATATATATCCTTTGTGCAAAGAGATGAGAAAGTTGTACTTGGATTAGGAACATTAATATGTTTGTACAGGCCTCAGAACTAGAAAGAGGAGGACTTGTTCATGCATCCTTTATTGTGCTTCTATATTAATAAGTGCTTAATGTTAACTAGATGGTTGAATGGTGCAACTGTTAGGAAGTAGCTTATATTCCTGTCATTTGCTCAGGCTCCTGGCAAACTCGTACTACATGTATGTCCCACCTTTTTCTACTTGCAAGAAACCTAGCTTTGATAGTCCTCCTCACCCTCTATATTATTCTTAGAATACTCTTGTGAAGTAGGTTAGGCTGGGAGTCAGGGGCCTAAAGTCACCCAATGAGCTTCATGGCTGAGTGGGGACTAGAACCTGGATCTCCTTAGCCCCAGGTCAACACTCTTGACTGCAGTGCACCACTATGTGGTGGTTTTAATTATAATGGAGATAATATATGTGAAATGCTCTGAAAAGCATTCATAAAAGGCTTTTCCTAGGAAGTGGTACTGCTGTGCTGGCCTTTTTTGTTTTGTTCAGTTTTTCTTTGCTTTTTAGTATTAACTAAAGTTCTGTGCCATCATTCTACATTTAGTAGATGTTTTAGCTATTGAGTTTAGGAGCTCTAATAGAGGAGGAAGCTTCTGTGTTTGTTTGGTCTCTCTTTTGCTGTAGCTAGTAGTATTTCTTTTTTTTTTCTTCTTTTTTTTACAGGTGTGGGATGCTTGTTCTGAGGCCATGATAATTTTTGATAAAGAAAACTTGGAAGACATGGGTTATATAGTAGAGAATGATGTTATCCTGTCTGCTCTCACAAAACAGCTGGATGAAGTTTCAGGTAGTGACTACTTTCCTGCATTTCAGATCACTTGAAACACTTTCCACACTTAGAAACTGGAGGAGATTTAACTGACACTAGTAGGAATTCAACAAGTTAGTCATTGTTCTGCCTGGACTTTGATAATTTAGGGGGTTTGTTTTTGGTTTGTTTTGCATCATCTCTGTCTATCATTTGGTGATATTAATATGTTGTGTCCCATCAGACCGAGTGGAAGTTCTCTACAGGAGCAGAGCAGTTGGGTACAAGTGGCCCCTTCATTATCAATCCTCTGATACAAGCACTTGGGTCCAAATTGATTTAGCAGATGGACACAGACTTCAGACCAAACTGCTGGTAACTAAGCCTTCATTTTCTGTTTGATCAGGCACCATCTATTTCCAAGTCCTTTCCACTAGATTTGGTTCTAATAGCATGTGGTGCTGCTCTACCATCATGAAGAGACTGAGAGGTGAGTTGACATAGTTAGAGGTAAAATATGTTAGAGTTGTTATGTTTAAATCAAAGTTGTGGTCATAAAAATGTTTGTTATGAAGTAATAAAACATGGTAAGAATCTGGGTATAGGGAGAATCTATTTTACATATATATAAGCCACCTTGTCAAGTGCAGGGAGAAAGGCTTGGCTGCCATGGGGATGTACATTACACATTGTTGTAGACAAATGAACTCTCCCCTGAACCCCCACTGTGAAACCACACGTCTTTCAGTGGTTTTCCTAAGCCTGAATGGTAGATTAGAGCACCCACAGGAGGCTGCAGGGAGAAGGGTAAATCTGTTCCTGTGGCAGATATTGTTGAATTTCGCCTTATATCTGTGTAGTTAGTTCATGATTGTACATAATGAAACCTGAAGGAATTGTGTTTTTTCTTTAATTTGTTAACATATCTTTGTTATCTTCTTTGTTATCTTCACAGATTGGTGCAGATGGGCAGAATTCTATGATCCGGAAGGCAGCTGGTATTCAGAAAATTCAGTACCAATATGACCAGTCAGCTGTAGTTGCTACTCTTCACTTGTCTGAGGTCAGACTTTAGGAGATTAGTCATTCACGCTGCAGCTTTTGAATGTACATAACTAATGGCAAAAAGTGAACCATTATAACTTCTGGCTTTCATGTGTTGCAGGCAACAGAGAACAATGTAGCATGGCAGAGATTCCTTCCTTCTGGACCTATTGCACTCCTCCCGGTAAAGAACTTAGTAACTCTTGACTCATCTGATTTTTATTCTTTGCTGTCCATCTCTTCTGTCTTTGTTTAGCACTAGTTCAAGATTAAAAGCTTTACTAATAGACTTAATATCCTTCTGCTGTTTCTGGAGTTATGGATTCCTTACTTGTGTTGGGTTGAGGGGTAAAGACATTAACATAATACATGTATATTTTTTTGTTTCTTGTTCCTGAGTCAGCTGTCTGATACTGTCAGCTCTTTGGTTTGGTCCACATCGCATGAACATGCATCCCAGCTTCAAAGCATGGATGAGGAAAGTTTTGTGGACTCTGTCAATTCTGCTTTTGTGAGTATTTTTATCTCATT